GAGTTGGACTTGTGCCTTATTGATTATTATTCCAGGTGACATGTTATAATGGATTTTAATGAACTTTCCTTGGCCAACAGTTTTTTTGACATCATTTACGTTTTTAATTGTAACATTAAGAGAAGCAAATGGCTGGTGTGAAGAGAAAGTTGAATGTCCTTTCAGTTAAAGAAAAAATGGAAATCTTCAAATTTTTGGATGAAATCCTAAGATGAGAAAGAATGAAGTTGCAACCAACTTTGGTATTCCATCGAGTATACTTTCAATAATAATAAAGAACAGAGTTTCAGTAGAGAGAAACTTTGTAAACAACAAGAAAGTGAAAAAATAAATAAAAAAAATATTCCTTTCCGGAAATAGACAAATGTGTAAGAAAATGGTTTGTGCAATGTTTTGACCAAGGAGTTCCTCTTAGTGACATGACGATACATAGGAAAACTGAGGATTTTACCAAAAGACTTGACCACAGTGAATTTAAAGCCAGCAATGAATGGTTCAAGAGCTTTAAAAATCAACACATCATCATCTTCACGAAACTTTATGGTGAAAGTGTCTGTGCCTCAAAGTGTTCGCAAAAAATGGATCAAGGAGTTCCCTTTTCTTGTTTAAGGCTATAAGCCAGTGGATATGTCTTCAACAAAGATAAGCAGGCCTTTTTTCCAATGTTTACCCAACAGAACAGCTATATTAAAGGGACAAGAATGCCAAGATGGAAAACAGAGTAAAGTACACATGACTATACTCTTAGCAGTTAATCAATCTGGAAGCAAAAAACTTCCACCACTGATGATTGGTTGTTCAACAAAGCCCAGATGTTTCTCAAAAGTGAAATTGTTTCCTATAACATACAAAACAAACACAAAGCTTATATGACAAGTGAAATTTTCAGTGACTGGTTGAAAGGAATTGACAAATCTATGGGTTTAAAAAAAGAAAAATTCTTCTTTTCATTGATAACTGCAACACTCATTTCAACCTCTGTACTCTAAAAAAACATCATTATAACGTTTTTACCTCTAAATATCACATCTAAGCTGAAACCCCTCGATCAAGAGATTGTTCAAAGTTTCAAAGTGGGATACAGAAGAGAACTGGTTCAAAAACTTCTAGAAGCCATCTATACTTCCCATTATCAGTGTTTTGAATGCTCCAAGGATGATAGACTATACTTGGAAGAATGTTTGAGAAAAGACAATCAAGAGCAGTTTTCTAAAAGCAAAGAGGAACACCATTGACATGGTGAAAGACATAAAAACCAATAACTCAAATCTCACAAAAACAAGAAAAAAATTTGATAGGCAGGTTTGACTGTATATTGTAATTATAAATGTAAAAACTAAAACTGCTAATTTAATTTAATTTTACTTAGAAACAAATTTTATAGTGATGAGATGGCTGAGGCAATTAAATACAGCCTCATCGTACCATTCTGGTGACTTGGAATCAAATCTGGGCAAGCCATCCTAGAAATTTAACTACTTAGATGTTACCCATACCTCAACATCTGGGTCTGTCAAACCCACAATAGGCATAATTATGAAGGCCCTCTTGGTGCCCACAGGTGTGTAGAGAGTTAAAAAAAACCCTCAAATTAATGAAGTCCTACAACTAGTTCATTCACTATATGGCTTCTAGAACAAGATATACACAATTTCTAATGCAATCCATTCAATTAAAGACAAAATTTGTATTTATACAAATACAAATTTTGTCTTTAATTGAATGGATGTAAATGAGTGTAAATGAGCATACGTTCATTTATACAAATGAACGTATGCTCATTTACACTCATCACTCAGATAGAGCTATTTAAACTTTAAATATTACAGAGAATTTTTTATTATATGCTATGAATTAAATGAAAACTGACTATTTAAATTCCTTCATTATAGATCTATGTAGTTTGTTACAAAAATCCTCAACAGTTCTTTTATCTTGATTCAGAATGACTGGTGCTTCATAATCTGGTAACTGACCCTTTGGTTTTGTATATCTAAAAAGAGTTTATTAAATCATTGTTATATGGTTAAATATAAAACTGTTTGAAATAAAATTTTAAAAATATTTTAAAATCGACATTTACATCCTTATTAATTTCAAATATTCCCAAGATTTTTCTAAGAGATCATCAAAGTTCCATTTATGATGGGCAGAAATAGGTACACAATGTGGAATTCTGTATATGATATCTAATTCCTGAAGAAGAAAAAAAACTGTTTAAAATATTTGCAAAAATAATAGTGATTAATGACTAATTTTATAAATATATAGTATATGTACTTACTTCAATAGATATTTGATCTATCTTGTTTAAGCAATAAATACATGGGATATAGATTCGATTTCCTTCTATGACGTCAATTAAATCATCAGAAGTAGCATCACATTTTAGGACAACGTCAGCATTATGTATCCTATATTCGGATAGAATTGTTTTTACCGTATCGATATCAAGTTCAGATTGGGTGACCTAAAAACATTGTAATTCTATATGATGATAAATATATATAACATAACTGAAAAAACAAATTAATGATAGCCAAAATGTAAACTGTAGCATATAAATTATATATTCATTCTAAGAGAGAAAAACTTAGAATGCAATAGGTTTTTCTCTATTTGGAAATTATATCACTTAACTATGCAAAAAGAAATGATCTTTCAGTAAATTTATAGAAAACAAAGAAAATGGTCTTTCAAAATGGAGAAGATTACTTAAGTCTGATAAGATATTTGTTAATGACATTAAAATTAATTTTGTTTCACATTTCAATTATTTGCAAATATATTTTTCTTTTGGTATGTACAATTATGATTTTATTTATTTATTTACAAATGCTACAGGTGATGCCCTTATAGGCAAAATTTTCCACCTCCCAAAATAACATAAAAATAACAAAACCTGCTAAAAACAACAAATAAAATTACAGAATTTTTCCACAATAATTGTATTAAGAAACAAAATTCTTAACAGTTAAAAAAAGAGTTTAAATTTATAAAAATCAATATAAAGTTTATCTTCGATTAGATTAGTAACTTTATGGTGATGATAGGAAAAAGATTTGGCTGAAATGGCAAGACGACAAAAAGGAACAGAAATATAAATAGACAAGTAGTAAGTTGATGTAATGAGATGGGAGAAATCCATTGAAAAGTTTGTACGTAAGAATTTGATCAAAATAGTTGATAAATTTAAATAAATATGGTAAACCTAAGTGAGATTGTGCAACTTCAGGACAATCTGTGTATGGTAAGTGAGCCAGTCTGTTAAGTAAAAGAAACATTTTACCTATTTGTAAATTAAGTTTGTTTAACAGACAGGGAGATGCTGAAGCCCAAACAGGTAAAGCATACTCAATAAGAGAGGGATGTTAGTAAAAAAAAAATGGCATGGTTATGTATTCTTATTTGAGATAGTCTTAAAATTATGCCAAAGCATGCCTTGATGTATTGCTATTTATTAAAACTAAATTTTCAATATGTGTTTTAAATGTATTTTGAATTTATTCTGAAAGATATGCAGAATCTAGGTTGTTTGTTGGCTCAACAAGAGAATGAAAAAAGGTTCAATGAATAGTATGTTTAAAATTTTTTATGCTTTTTTTTAGATCTAAATTAAAATATTTAATCCCAATTTGGGATCTATTTGGTCTGCATATAAGTTCATATGGTTAAGTTTGTGTGCCAATAACCTTGCAGATAAAAATGCATAATCTGATTAATATGTCTATTTAAAAATTCTGTAAGAATGAAACTACTTGATTCAGTTACTTCAATGTATTTTACTTTTATTTTATACCTTAATCTATTTTTGTTTTAAAACAACTTTTTCAAAATTCAATTTAAATTTGCTTCTGAAGGAACTTTAAACAAAAGTTTTATTGTTGTTATTGGTCTTTTTCATTTCACTATCATAAATCTACAGCTTGGTGCAAAAGACCTGCAATGCCTCATGTAAACATGTATTTTTAGATTTTGAACCCATTATAAAAAGTGATGTCAATTTCATACATAATAAATAATACATCTTTTTGAATTTCATAAAGAATTTGAGACTTTTGACAGAATTAAAATATCAGCATTGTTATACATGTTGTGAATGAAAAAATATAAAAAAACTGAAATGCTAACAACATTTTTTATTTCTTGTAAACTACAAGAAACTGTTTACGTCAGCAGAAAGACAAAATACAAAACAAACTCATTTAAGCTTCTACATGTGGTCAATGAATATTACATACATTTGACATAAACAGACAATTAACGTTTAATTGGGAACCCATTTCAAAATGCAGTTTTAATCCGTAAAAGTACTGAAGAGAAAAATCAACTCTAATATCTGCTGAATGTAAAATATAAAAACATTCCAAAAATATTTTGGAATGTTTTTATATTTTACATTCCAAAATATTCCAAATCCACATGTAAAATATAAAAACATTCCAAAAATTAAAAATACAACCAAACCTTTCAAGAACTGATATAAAGATTAAAAAAATGATTGTTGTTTGGAAATAGGTCATTATTGGAGGTTTAATTTTAAAATTATTAGTATTGATTTCAACATTCTATTTTTAACAATTACTACATTTAACTAAGAAATTAAATAAAATTATCATCAATATTATTTCAGATATAAACTATGAACAAAATCAAATAATGAAAAACTGGTCAACCACTCTTAAATAAAGTAATTTTTAGTTTTATTTCAAGCAGAAATTCATAAAATAAATAATTTATAATTTCAAAACATTTACCAGAGACTGTAGATTAATTCCTCCTTTATCTTTTTTTCTTACTGCAATTGCAGGAGGTTGTTTGTTTAATCTAATTCCAAATCCTTCCAATTCTTTTTCAATAATTTTTTTATGCTGAAGAGGCTTCAATACATCCAGTACAATAAAAATAAGACTGCATGTCCTTGCAACTGAACATAGAAAAAATTACAATAAATCAGAATCTTTACTCATTAAGAATTGTGTTCCTTATATAAAAAGATGATAAAACTTAACTTAAAACAATCACTATAATTGATATACATAATGAAAGTTCACCTTGTCTTTGTGAGAAAAATTAAATTTTAACTCTAAAAAATTTGGACTTTTAATTTAGCATAAAACCTAAATGACTATTTTTATGTGAACTTTAAAACTATTAGAACAAAATTCTACTTAGCTTGAATTAAAAATTACATGTACAGTGGTATATACTTATTACAACCTCTTTGAGACATGCCTAAACTGATATCAATAACTGATCAGCGGCATTAAGCAAGTTAAGTAAATAATAAGACTACAGTTACTAAAACTTGTGATTTTAATAACTGTACTTTTACTGCCTTGACATTAAAAAGGGCACATTAATAAGCACTTACCTTGTAAACACAGTTCTTTACCTGTGTACTGGCTGATTTTCAGTGTTTTACAGTATATTCCTTAGCATAAGAAAAAAAAATTGACTAAAGCAAGGCAAACAGTGACTTAGAATCACAAAATATAACTTGGAAAACTCCAAATCTAACATGCCATGTAGTTCTAAACAATTGTATTTCATCTTTCTAGGAAAATAGTTTATCTGGTGACAGCCAGATAGCAGATGGCATTAAGAGGCACAAAAACATACAGAGTTTGTATCATGCTACAACATGTTACATTTTAAACCTAGGAATATCTTGATATATCAAGAAATGTAACATTACAGTTTTAAAAAAAATTTGTGAAATGTAGTATTAAGTTTGCTGCAGGTTACGTGTTAAAACAGTTAAAATGTTATGTAACTCAATACTTTATTTAATTGTAATTATTATTATTAAATAATATGTAATTCATTAAATATTATTTGCCTTTAACAACAACTAATGTATAAATAACATAAAAAAAAAAAAATAATGTCAACAACTTTTTACTTCAGTTCACATGGCACAAGTTCCATTTTACACTGATTTTTTTTCCAGAATACTCTAAATTAAATTTAATAAGATACAGCAGCTTAACTGTCCATATCTAGACAAATTGCTTAATATCTTATTAATTAGCTTTAACATAATTAGCTGAATAAGGATTTGGTGTTTGTTTAATTACAGCACTATTATCAAGACATTTAGGCATTTTTGCATTTTATCAAACAAGAAGAGAATTCTAAAACAATACTATTTACATTCAAAAAGCTCAACTTTTTGAATTTAAATAGCTCTCCAATTAGTTCTGAATTCCAATTATTTGAACAAAGTATTTGCAATTATTAATATTAAAGTAGAGTTTTGTTTAATGGTATTTTTTGCATAAACTTTTGTAAGCTATTAATTACACAATATCCTGGAAATATAGCATTACTATACACATATATACAGTTTAATCTGGAAATTTTACCTGCAATAACCTGCCGACCACGACCTTTTCCGTCCTTAGCACCTTCTATAATTCCAGGAAGATCTAATAATTGAATTTTAGCACCTTTATATCTAATGACACCAGGTACAGTAGTTAAAGTTGTAAATTCATATGATGCTACTTCAGAAAACACTCCAGCTAAAGTATTCATCAATGTTGATTTTCCAACAGAAGGAAATCCTGAAAAACAGATGTATCTTTTAATTTATATATATATATATTTATATTTATATACAGCATATACACACTGTATCATACAGTAGTATCTGTATATAGTCATAACTAGTGACTAGAAAAAGTGTTTTACAAAATATGTTCCACTAATCACACTGTTTTATGATATTTTTTTTTTTTAACAAAAACAATTAAAGGATAATCAATAACAGCTATAGTAGAGAATTCTTTAGTTAAATGTTAATATGGAATATTAAAAGATTTTTTTTCACTTTGATCAATATCACCAGACAATTTATCATGAATATAGCTTATCAGATGAGTATGNATATTTTTTTCTATAAATATTTAAATTTATCAATTTTTTAATTGAACAGTCAACTACAGTATAAAAGAAATCCATGATTTTTTTCTTTTGAAGATTGTTTGGAAAAGTAGAAATATTTTTTGATGCCAAATGAATAAAAACAAAGACAAACCTGGCATCACGGTATGTACTCCCTGATCTGCAAACTAGCAGATATTTGCATGGAACCACATCCATTTAAGGAGGTGGACATCATTAAACTTTAACTCTTATTTTCTGAGTATATTAGAATGGTCTACTAAAACCAGATGTTTGAATTGCTCTGCAATCAGAGGTTGAATCAGTCTTTGCTTACTTGGAAAATGAAATCTATTTTATTCAAAATATAACATTTATTACAGTACCACTTTTTATATTGTTCATGTCAAAAAATGTAAAAAGTAATCATTATTGGAAATAAGGTTATTTCTTGGGGTTGTAAAAGTAATTTACAGTTTGGTTTAATGAATTCTGATTTGTTTGCTTTATTGTGTGAAAATTAACATTGTGATAATGGCATTTTAGCAGGCCAATTGCCAAAATTCACTTTAATGCTGAAATTCATTTGCTTTATAAGTGTTTGTTTTAAGGTCAGTATATTTTAAACATTTTATTTTTAAATAATTAATATAAATGTTTTAAAAATGCAATAAAAATACCAGTAAATGCCAATTTTTTTTATTATTATTAAAAATAAAGTAAACTTCCAGAAAATTTTATATTCATTTTAAAAAAAACTTTTCTAAAATACAGGCTCTTAAATATAAACATTTTATTAGTAAAAAATACATAGAAAAACTCAAATGTCTTTACTCTCGCCATGTCCAATCAGTGGGAACGACAATCTTCCATTGGGAAGACGACCTTTCTTTAGAGGCTACAGATCTATAAAAACATGCAAAACAGTCTAAAAGTTCTCCGGTGACAAGCCAAAACAATTAAAAATACAATATTCGTTTGTAAAAAGTTGGCTAATGGATTAAAAAAAAATTTATCTAATAAATGATTAAAATACGTCTTTTTCATAACTCTTTCAGTCTCACAAATACTAAAGGATCTGTTTGCAAGCCTGTTGTGAGTTTAGCCTACAACAAAGTTGGCCAGATGGCAAAGAATACAACTCGTGAATGACCTTGTCTGTTGGACCTTTGTTATGCAACTTCTTCTTAAAATTGTCTGTAATTGTCTTACATTTCAAGCTTTTTAACTTGCATATTACCACAACCACTTGTTCTTCCATGTTCATAATCAGTTTGTAGTAATGACTGAAAACTGGATTAATGTTAATATTAAAAACACTCACCAAACAGAAAATCCAGCAGTATAACATTCATTTAATAAAAACATATGTTTTTGACAAACTTCAAGTTGTCATCTTCAAGTTAAAAAGCAATTTGGAAGATAGAACAAAGTTTGAATATAGCACAGATTTTGAAAGAAGCAAATATAACATGATATAGCATATTATTATTAGTTGGTTTGATATGTAATCAATGATGACAAATTAAGTTTACAGGGTGATGAAATAAAGATCTACATGCATTGGAGAAAGTTTCAGCCTCCCTATTATTAATTATACAATTAATTACAAGAAAGCATTTTATTAAATCAATGTTATACTGCTGGATTTTCTGATTTGATGAGTGTTTTTAATATTCATTATCAGTGATATGGGCCTAAATGGAAAATTTAACAATTACACAGAATTCAACATAAACCAATTAATGTTTTGTAAATACATAAATTTACATTAAAGATATATATATATATTTATGATAGCATAGCACTTTTTAAAAAAAACATTTAATGTCATTAAAATAATGACTATATAAATATATAAAATTACTTGTCCTGACTGACTGACTGATTCATCATCGCCCAGAGCAAACCACTGAACCTAGAGGTGAAATTTCGTACACAATTAGGATACTTCATGTAAATGCACACTAAGAAGGGATTTTTTGAAATTCCCCACGGGGGCAGGAGGGAGAGGATTAAGGCTTAACCTGAAGAATGGCTTCTACTGTACTATTTTAGATGCAATGTTTTGGTTTTCAACTACGTTTAGTCTTCATTGAGTACTTAGGTGTATTAAAATGATAACATTTCAGACATTGTTATAAATATTTTTATACATTTCAATTTTTAAACCAAATGTTTGAACTGTTTTAAATTCAAATTTGTTATTGCATATTGGTTCGATTATAGAATGATTTTAAACGTTCCAGAAAATTGATCAAATTGGAAACAGTTTGTTTGATTCTCAGTAATTCTCATCATTCCCAGCAATAGGTATTATATAACAATTACTATGGCTGTTGAAATACTGAATATAAATGGTGTTTGCTTGCAAAATTCGCATGGGCAAAGTCATGGTGGGTAACAGCTAGTATAGTATATGTAAATATTTTATGTAAGTTCGAGGAGGAAATGTCTTTAACTATATGAAGTTCCTTTGTCTCGTCCTACTATATTCGAGGTCTTTCACGTGGTCCGTTCTTTCTGACTTCCCAGAAGCTTCTGACCTTATTTTCTATTGTTCCACGTCACTCCTTTTGTTTCAAGCGCCTCCGGCTTTGGAGGGCCAATCACACCTTTACATATATATATAACTCATAACCCAATTTTAATTAATTAAAGCCAAATGATATTGCTGAAATTGTCAGACTATGTTTGGGCTATATACTCAAAAGCTCAAAACTAATCTTTTTTACAATTTTTACAAGATTATTTGGTTTTAATTAAATAGCAACTTTTGAAACGTTCTGTATATTCATATCTATAGTAATATTACGATGATACATTTTTTAAAAACTGAATAATGATCTCTAAAATTTATCAAATGAAACTTACCAACAAATCCTATTCTTGCATCACCAGTTTTAGCAACATCAAAACCTTCTCCTGGACCTCCACCACCACCTTTGGGAGTTATCAATTCTCTTCTTAGTTTTGCGAGTCGAGCTTTCAAAAGTCCAAGATGCCCCATTGTCGCTTTGTTCCTTTGAGTTCTAGCCATCTGAAAGTACAAACTTATTTCAATACACTACACTCAAAAAAATCAGCAGTATAAATTTAAATATGGATATTATTTGAAAGAAGTGAATGAAAAATCAATTTAAGTATTTTTCTTAATAAAAGGTTTAAAATTTTAGATTATTTTACAATTAAATATAATGCATGCAGAAAGTTATAATCAACATATATCATTAGATGTTTGTATTTTGAAAAATTTCTCAAATTAAAGGCAATATTTAAATATTGCCTTAATTTAATTAAATAAAGTAGCTTTTTCTCAATGAAAGTTTCCCAAAATGTTTAGGAGATATCTAGTATATGTAGTAATTTTTAGAAAATCTATCAATGAAATCACTATTATTGTTTTACGGCATTTTATCTTTGATGCAATTTGTAGGAGTTGTTTCCTTCATAGCCCATTCAATTCCCACTACTGATATGTGTATACAAATCATTTATTTAATCAGGTAATGAAAAGAAACTGGTAGACTGTGGCAAATCTTTGAAGCATAAAAAGATTCAGATCTTTTATGGCTTTGTGTATTTTTTATTAAACCATTTCAAGTACTTTCGAATCCTTTTATTACTCCCTAAAGGTAATAAGTTATCATCAGGTTACAAGCCAGGTAGAGGTATATTCTGATATAATAAGTTAAAAAATCATAGATATAATAACTTGAGGGATTCTCTACCTTATTCTAATATTGGAATATCTAGAGCTTATGCTGACAATTTGTTTAACAAGTCAATGCTCCAAAAAATGTTATGTATAAGCCTTTTTCACCAAGTGTCACACTAGCCCCACACTGGGCATCATATTCAATCAGCAGACAGCCCTGGTGCATATTTCCAATACTCTGATAGCAGACCAGTACATCACAAATTGTGGCACCTATGGTTTGTTACAGGTTGCACCCAACAAGTGTTCTAGCAAGATAATGCCCAACTGTACATCACACAGCAAACGCTCATCAGTCTGAACAGAATTCACATTCTTCCTGGCCAGCAGCCTCACAAGATCTCTCTCCCATCAAACATCTGTGGGACCTTGTCCAACACGAAGTGCACCAGGGACCACTGCCACATACCATAAACACATGTGCACTACAGTAAACACAGCTTGGCAAGGGATACCTCAGGCAACCATTAACTGCCTCATTAATAGTGTGCCTTTCCGTATGGCAACCTATACTGTATAGCTGTCCATGGGGCCATATTCATTACCTTATAAACAGGTATCTGTTGCATATTGTTGTTTGTTCTTTTAATCATTTGCATATCTCTTGTCAACTCTACTAGTTCTGCAAGGTGCACATTCATTTCACTTTTGAGTAGTGTAAGATAGCCAAAGGCCTAATCTGGTAAAAGATTAGGGCCTTTATTACAACACAGGCATGAAATATTTTACATAAAGCATTTAAATCATGTAGAAGAACATTTTTTATTCAGCTGGGATATCAGTTTCCTATTTAACTTTGGATTTAAGCATGAATTTCACAACAGTAATGAATGATTTGTAAATTTAAAGCTTTATAATGGTTTCATCCAGGGCTATTTTCAGCCAAAACATGCCAATATGCTATACTGACAGATAGCATAAAATGTATCAATAGCATGTATTAAGTATTGAGAGTTGCTTAATAAGAAAAATTCTATACATTCAGGCAAAAAGTCTAGTGACTGTCACAATAAAAAACAAAGAGACTATTGGTCACAACAAATGCCCTAGGCCAATCAGAGCCAACATAAAAAAGAATAATAATAATAAATGTACATTTATACAGAAAAATGTTGATAAATAATTAGTAGTATTAAACAGTATTTTTTTAAAATTATTGTTATGCTTTTTAAAACAGAATTTTATTTTTTGTTAATGTATATGTATATTGGCATAAAATTTTAGGAAAAGAAGCCACTGTTTTCACCCATTAATACTGATCTGACCTTAAATACAGTTAGCTAGTATTATTAAAACATGAGGAATAATGTCCATAATAAATTACATAATTTAGACTGGATTCAAACTCAGATGTTCAATTGACCTGGATACAAATACAACTCTGAATGAGGCTGCTGAAACCATCTCAGAGCTGCAGACCATGCCCATAAGAGTAAAAAAGTCAAAAGAACCGACAGTCTATTCTACACAAGATCCTTCATGAGATATAATCTCTCCAAAATCAGCCTAATTATTTTTTCACTTTTAATTAAATTTAACTTCAAAAATGGGATAAAATTTAAAAGTGAAAAAATTCCAGAAGTATTTCTTAAAAGAATAATAAAAAAAACAACTGTTTTTTACTTTACTAAAGGCATACCAAGTAGTCGGTGCAATGCTATTCCGGCCCACCAGTTCCATTTTCCGAACACCGGGAGTTCGGTGGTGGGTTCACGCCTTGCCAGGACAGGCTGTTTACGTGGAGTTTTCCGAGTTTTCTCCACATCTGTAACTCTCAAATAGGGACAAGTTACCCTTAAAAAGACCTGGAAGGAGGCAGATCGCCAAAGTGTTGTGTTGCTGTAAATTAATAATCAAATAAACAGCAATGTTATTCCACCAATTACTTGGAGTGCAATTGAATCACATTGCATGCTCCATTAACTTTACTGCATATTTAACAAGCAGCCCAGATGGAAACTTTGGAGAGAAACACTCCACCAAAGGTCACAATTATATGGTTCCTTTGACTTTTTTGGTCTAGAGGTTAAATTGGGGGGGGGATCCAAACCTCTTATTCAGAACTGAAATTTTACCTATAATTTGGGCTGGATTCAAACTTAAATCTTCAAGGGCAATTTTGTATAGAACGTTACCATATCACATGGTTAAATAGATAGATTCAAACCTTACATAAAATCAATATTGAAGAAGTGATCTGCTTTGGTGTTCACATGTTCAGGTACTTTAACAGCAGATTTATAGTTGATTAATGCATCAAGTAATGTAATTTTATTACACTTATGTTTGTTTATATTCAATTATATATCCATAAAATTACTTATTTAATGTTATTTATATAAAAATTACCTCAGCTTCGATGGCTGCAATTTTTTCTAAAGTTGTACTCATGTTTCTTAAAATTAACTTGTAATTTCAATATTAAATTAATGTTATACGTCGCCTTCTTTGTTTAGAAGCGTAATTTAATGTAGATATTGCTTAAAATTAAGTTTTCAAACGAGATTTACTTTCTTTTTTAACAGTTTTTGCCACACGACTTTTAACGTGTGCTCCGTCACTTGTGGCTCCCTCTACTAAAGTTATTTATTTTATTATTTTTTAAATATATATTACGTTTCGATTTAATAATTTTATTTAAAAAATTTTGCTTTTTATTTTTTTACATTTATTATTAATATAAAATTCAAACTTTTAAATAATAATAAAAATTTAATTTATATCTTTTCCCCGCCCATTTTTTTTCTTTTTTTTTAAACTCCTTCCACCCTATGAATACTAAGAGGGCCTCTTTTTTAGCAAGCCCATTGTGGGTTTGGCCATGTCCAACCTAATGGGGCGACCGGGTCGTAAGGGACGGGGACCGACATACCCGAACATACAACTCTTCGAAAAATTCGCCCGGATTCGATCTCGGACCCCCCGAGTGGTAGGCTGTCATCTTGACCACTCGGCCATCCGGCCTTTTGCCTCTGAACACTGGTAGTTATTCACAGGTTCGCAAGTCACCGAGGAGCTGGCCAAGTGGAATTTTCTGGGTTTTCTTTGCGTGTTTAACATCTAAATATAAGCCAGTTTCTCGCAGAAAGTTTCAAACACGCGAAAATAAGCAATTTTCACATATAAGATCATGCTCTTGTATGCGAAGAAAATGTTTGTCATGTCACACAACATGCTTTCTCGTTTTATTTCTTTGCACATTATTACATATCTTCACGCCGTATTATTTGCCCGCTTTCCTCCCCAAAGAATCGATGCCGAAAGTCAACAGGTTACATGTATATCAAATTGACATTTTCCAGTTTTAAATCATTAATTAATCTATAGCATGCTACAGAAGTTTTTTCTACTGTTTACAGGATTTAGCAACATGACTATTCATGCTCCTGCTTACAAAATTTCTAATGAAATTATGAAAAATTCTAAAACATCATTTAGAAATTCTTTATCGAAAGTGTTGACTAATTACGTTCCAATTTACTGTATGGTGCAGTTGTGATTTACATGTTAGCTTTACTGTAATTATATTTTATTTATTTTAAAAATAATATAAATAAATACAGAAGAAAATCGATTTTTAAAACTTATTTATTTAAATTAAAAAAAAAATTCTTGAAATATTCAGAAAATTACAATAATTATTTTAGTTGTTTTGCGTTTTCTTCGATAATTTTTGCGTTTTTTTTGCAGTTTTTAGAATAAGAATTTATGTTATAACTTTGATCTCTAATAAAATAGCTAAAACCAAGAATATGATGTAAACTATTATAAGAATAAATCCGTACCAATGTTTCACTTGAAACTTGAGTCCCGCTATTGTTAACATTGTGAAAACTAAACTAAAACACAACGTTCCGTACAACAGTGCGATCATACTTGTATATTTTAACTGAAAATTAAATTAAAAATAATTTAAATTAAATTAAATTTCAAATTTTCTTTTTTATCTTATAAATAAAATGTTCTAGTTAATTCAGTTTACCTCGATTGGTTGTCCTCCACCTTTTACAATGCTAATTGTGCAAGCTATGCCTACGCCAAGTAATAAATCTTTAATTAACAATTAAGAAAAATTAAAATATAATTCTTGAATATATTTGATTCTAGTACATATTCCAGATATAGAAAATTCATTATCTACAAGCTAATTAATTACAATAGTAATAAACTTCATTCCAATCATTTGTAAAGTTCCATTCATAATATAACAATGTGCAGTCGAACCTCTGAACAATGCCATTGCTGGGAATATAAAAAGTGGCCGTTGTTAGAGGTTCGACTATATATTAATTGCCATTTCTCAAGGATACTTAATAATGGTCCAGCATAACAGGCACTCATTCCCATTCTAGGGTAACCTTGCTTAGCAACTAATGGATTTGCTACTAAATCTAAAATTTAAAAAATTAATATTAATATTATATATATATATATAGTAACATATATAAACACAGGGTGGTCCAAATGTCAATTAGCCAAGATTTTGCAGCACTTTAGTAAAGTTTGTAACTTGAAGTATTCGATTAAGACGGCCATTTTTTATTTACAATATGTTGCCGTGTACAATAATAATTATTGTGATAAATATTAATGTGTCGTATGTAAAGTTATAAGGCCCTAAAGGGTTGGCATGTGCTAATTATGATGCTTAAAACAATTGATAACAATATGTGTAATTGTAATAAGCATTCTACTGTACTGTACTTATAATAATAATAAATCAGTAAACCCGTGAAAGACGTTATCCCAGGGAACCGTGTAATTTTTCTGTCTTAAGCAGGTTTTCCATATGAGGAAGGTTTGAAGAAAACGGTAACTGCTTCAAAATATGGGAGCGTAATGCTTTATTTGCTACATTTATTGAAGTGCAGTATCAAAGGATTTGATTTCATTCATTGTTTTATTTGATCGATAGTTGTTTAAATTCCCTCCTTTGATTCTAACTAATAACAGAGGTGTTACACGTATAGGTTTTCGTTTACATCTTACGAGTTCCGGATTAAACAAGATATTTTGTGGGAAAATTTGACTGTAAATGCCGAAGTAACTCTTACTTTCTGGCTTTCACCTGCTTTCCTTCTTTCGCAGATTTCACTGTAGGATTGTTATACAGTGTCATACCATAGTGTGTAAAGTAGGTGAGCGAAGTCAGTAGACATTCAAAACATCGATATTTTAGTGAATTTTTGACGTAATGTAACGAGATTACACGGAAATCTGTATAATCACAGGGGCTTTCCATCCAGAAAAGTATCAAAATTAGTTCGAATTATGTCTACCGAGTGGAGCTTTGCATTACAGATGCAACTCTCGTTACCTGCCATATAGCAAAAATTTACCGAAATATCGATTTTACTTTCCCTGCTGTTATATACATAACAAGGGAAAGAATTGAAATCGTTGACCCTTACGTTTTTGCGAATCACATTTTTACATCCCCCTGAATCAAAATAATCAAATAAACGGCAGAAAAAAAATTCGTGGATGTGTGTCTTTGTACGTGTTGGCATCCATTTCGCTTAATATTTCAGGATGTTGTAAAGATTAAGAAACGAAATTTGGCACGGTAGCTTGTGTATAAGAAGCATTGACGCTATTAAATTTTGGTTTTGAATGGTCGAGGGGATGAAGAGATATAGGATGGTTGCGTGCCATATTTCGAATGTGGTCGGACTTACTTATACTTGTTTTTGCATTTACAATTTTATAAAACTCGTCTCTATCCTCAAAGTTAAGTTTTTTTTTTGCCATTTTTATAATAATTAAAAATATAGAAAATTTTTCTAACAAAATCTCATAATAGATAGCAACACACGCGATTTTATTTATTTACCATAGAGCGAAATAGCGCTCTACAGTAGAAGACAGCCATATATGTAATGTTAAAGTGCCAACTTTGACTCTTAATATCTCAAAGACCAATGTACCGATTTGGATGAAATTTAAAGTATTTAGTCTCCAGGATGCGTACTATAGACGTTTTAAATTTTGAATAAATTCGTTGGCTCGTTTAAAACTTACGCAATCGGTATTTTGTCACGTAGATTTACAACGAGAGAGAATATGACACCAAGCTCTCGAAGAATTTAGGAGTCTGAATATGCGTAATAGTTCTTTCGACTTCTTATGGAACTAGATTGAAAAAGTAAAGCTTATGCAAGGCATTTAAATCAAAGAAACTTTTGGAAGTTGTGGCATAAGAACAGTGGAAGAAGATTTGACAGTGAGATTAACATTTGAATAAAGTGCATATTAATTACACAAAATATAACTACAGGAAGTTTTGGATGAAGCAATGTCACTATGATAATAAATCGGGAAAATAAGCATCATCACAGAAAAAGGCTTCGTGCTATATTTAGTGCCATAAAGTTCCTACACTGATACTGCTCAAAGATACTCTAACGAAGGTAAGATAATTTAAGGCACAAAGTAAAGCTCAAAGCCTCTTTCTGTGATGATGCTTGTTTTCCCGACTTATTAACCTGGTGACATTGCTTCCTCCNAAAAATATAGAAAATTTTTATAACAAAATCTCATAATAGATAGCAACACACGCGATTTTATTTATTTACCATAGAGCGAAATAGCGCTCTACAGTAGAAGACAGCCACATGTGTAATGTTAAAGTGCCAACTTTGACTCTTAATATCTCAAAGACCAATGTACCGATTTGGATGAAATTTAAAGTATTTAGTGTCCAGGATGCGTACTATAGACGTTTTAAATTTTGAATTCGTTGGCTCGTTTAAAACTTACGCAATCGGTATTTTGTCACCTAGATTTACAACGAGAGAGAATATGACACCAAGCTCTCGAAGAATTTAGGAGTCTGAATATGCGTAATAGTTCTTTCGACTTCTTATGGAACTAGATTGAAAAAGTAAAGCTTATGCAAGGCATTTAAATCAAAGAAACTTTTGGAAGTTGTGGCATAAGAACAGTGGAAGAAGATTTGACAGTGAGATTAACATGTGAATAAAGTGCATATTAATTACACAAAGTATAACTACAGGAAGTTTTAGATGAAGCAATGTCACTATAATAATAAATCGGGAAAACAGGCATCATCACAGAAAAAGGCTTCGTGCTATACTTAGTGCCATAAAGTTCCTACACTGATACTGCTCAAAGATACTCTAACGAAGGTAAGATAATTTAAGGCACAAAGTAAAGCTCAAAGCCTTTTTCTGTGATGCTGCTTGTTTTCCCGACTTATTAACCTGGTGACATTGCTTCCTCCAAAACTTCCTGTAGTTGTAGTCTGTATAATGTGCACTTTATTCACACGTTGCGTCTTACTGCCAAATCTGCTTTCACTATTCTTATGCCACAACTTTCAAAACTTTTCTTTATTTAAATGTTTTTGCTGTGCTTTACTTTTTCAACCTGGTTCCACTAGTTTTTTAATGGGATTTGTGATTAATTAATAATATAAAAGCTGCGACACTCGTTGCTAGAATTTTTTAAATATCTAATGACTTTTGGATCACCCTGTACTTACATGACTTAAACTTATATAAAAAAAATAGATAAATACATTATATAATAAATTTAAGTCTCAAATTTATAAATTTTCATTTTAATTTTATAGATATTAATAAAATGTATACAAACCTCCAAGGCTGTTACCCCAAGCCAATACAGTTAAACCTAAAATTGCATCACTTAAGCCAAAAACAATTCCAAGTGCCTGTTTAATATTAAAAATTAATAATTAATTAATTAGTTCATTAATTAATATATTTCAGGATAGGATAAAGAGTAAAAAAATAACGAAATTTGGCACGGTAACTTGTCTATAAAGAACATTGACGTTATTAAATTTTGGTGGTCAAAGATGGAGGGGTGAAGAGATAGAGAGATATAGTGTATCATATCTCGAGTGGGAGATAGGATTTAATGAAGATTTTACTTGTTATTAACATTTACAATAATTTTTGAAACTCGTCTCTATCCTTAAAATTAAGTCTTTCTTGATATTCATAATGATTAATAATATAAAAGTTATTTTTAACAATATATCGTAACAGATGGGGGCAAACACGATTTTAACCTCGTACTAATGTGTATCGTTAGTGTTTCTTAAACACTAAAGTATTTTTCGCGGGGAAAGTTATAAAACTTGTTGCTGGTTTTTTTACATTTTATAAAATTCCAAAAACATTCGATGATTCAACTTCATAAAGAAATTACACAGAAAAGAAGAAACATGCCAACAAATGTATTTTTAAAATTGATTAATTAAGAATCAAAAAGAATAAAAAGAAAACTTACCTTAAGTAACGAAACTATTTCTTCAGAAATACAATAAATCCACGTGACAGATACAGCAAAAACTAAATAGCTAAAAATAGCATAATATTTTGGTGGTTTCTCTTTTTTCGAGGTAAAAATAACCACCAAAGCTAAGATTATGGAGACGATTGCTACGATACCGACTACAGGAAATATGTCACCAACTAAATCCAAACCATCTGTAAATCACAAATCATTAAAATATCAAATTAAAAATACGAAAATTGAAGCTTGTACTATTGTTAACTCCTCCGCAATTGCATTTCCGATTTAAATCATTTTTTTACATACAAATAGAATCCATCTCAGTCTAGATCATAACGCTAACAATATTTTAAAATTCTACCCGTGACCAGAGATATATAAGGTTAAACTTTACAATGTTAAGTGTACGGGCGAACTTAACACCAGAGCGCGCGCTCGTCACACTTCATTTGATTTTATTTATTATATTAAAGTACATTGGCTAGAAATGACCAAACAAATTTCAAATTCCTTACCTGTGTATCCTATAAGCAACAGTGTAGTGTAAAACTATATATTCTAATGCCGCGAAGAACGGGAATCCGTGCTACATACAGCTTATGCTTTCTACTTCCAACCAGAAGGCAAAATATGACTGTAAACAATCGAACAAACGAATAGAGAACAAGAAATGCAAGAGATAGACGACTGGCTTGTCTCACAGCATGCCAGATGTAGAGATTGGACATTATTTCACTGACTTTATACACAGATTTTAATGCCGCTCGTGTTCAAAACTGCAAACAATCGCAGTTAAAATGGATGGCAGCTTTGGACCGATTTGCAAAAATTGCATGAAAAATCCATATAAATTTACGAATTCGGATAACATTGCTCCTCAGCCCATCATTGGCCGAGTGGATAAAACCACTGAAGAATGGTACTTGGTCACAACTTTGCGCCTCGCCAAAGGGATGGCCATGTGGAGTTTTTCGGGTTTTCTTCACCTTTGTAACCCCTAAATAGAGGCAACTTTTCTATAGAATGTCCTGTCGTGAGGCATCTCCTTGGCAGTTTGCACACGTGTCAAACTAACATGGATCTTGTAAACCAGCCAGAAGGATTTACGGGTCTCATAGAAATAGAGCAAATGCTAATCGCTCATTGTTAGTTAATGCTTCTTATCCTTTTCATGTAATTTACCTTTACATTCAATTAAACTTTCTCAATGGGAGGGCAATTTGAAAATACTATTTTTAGCATTAAAAATTGAGTTATTTCCTCTTTTAAAACTGCATGATTTGTAAACTTTCTTTTGCGCTCATGATTATCCAAAATTTAAAAAAATTCGGTAATCTGACGAAGATAATTCAGCAAAATTAGAAGGATGAGGTAAAAGTTCCTATTCCAATTGAATTATATTGAAGTTGACTATATTCTTCCGTATAATTATAGCAATTACAACTACAGTTACGTAATTTACAATTGTAGGAAAGAGTAAAATTTTGTCATTTTTAACATAAAATTTAAATTTTCTTTTCTTACGTTTCGAAGCGAATGCCACAAAAACTGGTCCAACAATACAATGTATAACCGCTAGTGGCTTGTTCCAGTTATTTGAAAGGTCTTCATCATCCATTAAAGGCATTGAAAGAATCAAGATAAAATGAATAGGCAACTATAAAGTATAAATAAGAACATATAATAAACTCAAAGACTTATGGAAATGATTAAATCCAGTAAATTCATACCTTAAAAACTATCAAAATTTTAGTATACCAGGGTTTCTCTGACCATGACAAGATATCTATGGGAATTATCTGGTAATAGAATGATTTGCAATCTCCCACGTCTTCAGAACTCGAATTTGATATCAGACTTGAGAAACTATTTCTAGACATCTGGGTTTCCAAAGGAGGAGGTATAAATTCTACAAAAGTCATTTGAACTGTAAATTATCTGCAAATATAGCTAAAAATTTTTAATTTTGTTCTACTTTCTACCTTTTTTACTTTGATCCGATTTCCCAAAGCTTCCATTTCTGGAATGGTCTAAAGTACTATTATTGTTCATGGCATTATTTGTTTTTGCAGGAATAAAACTCTTACGAGGAATGCCTAAACTGTTTCTGAAAACGATTCCTGTAATTGGACACGAACAATTTGTTTACAATAATTTAAAATTGAATAATTAGCATTACAACAAACGATGCAAAAAGTGGGCATTCTACTATTTATCAATATTTAAAGGTGATTAACAACAGTATTGATGACAATTGATAACTCGAGACACTAACACAACATTAGACTACATGTTTAGACACAGTTATGCCCATTATAAACCTCATATTTTTCAAACCCATTGTGAAAAAGACCCACAATAGAATCAACCAATTTAAAGGAGGAATGGTGATTCTTACACCAATTCCTATTACATGATAGATTGATGGGTTAAAGTAGACTATACTTATATAAACTATCTGAAGATTTGGGTTCGAATCCTAAGATACACTTCTTATATAAAATATAATTCTGCAATATTTATTATAAACTAGCTGCAAACTCCAAAAGCCATCCCCAGTAACTTCAATTTAAAATAAAGCAGTAACTAGAAAATGCTTTGGAATAGTCGAGGACCGTTATGTATGAATAGTGGAAATGGCTTTTGGAGACGTGTGACGCACATACTTCAGTTGATTTTTCACAAGTAAAAGTGTACGAATAACAGAAAAAAGTAGAAAATGAAAAGTGAATAGTAAAGTGTGAAAAGTAAAAATATAAAAAACAATGCCAAAGCGTAAGAAAGAATTTTTGCGGTCTCGAATCATATCGAAACAGAAATAATCAGACAGAAGAGCAACTTGAAAATTATAGGGAAACACATCGAATTAGAGAAAGATTATGTAGAGGAAGATAAACAGACTTTTATATATATGCAGCTAGCAAAGAAAAAAGCATATTTCTATCATACAACATTATTACATTCCGAAATTGAATTGCAAAACAGATTATTAAATATCATTCACCAAATTTAACATTTCCAAACTAAATAAAGTGCAAATATTATTATATATAATTTAAAAAAAAAAAATAATAATTATATTACATATAAATGTACGAACAAAATAAAAACCCAGCGAAGCCGGTACTTGCAGCTAGTCTAATATAATAAAAATCTAACAACTTCTTATCAAAACCAATTATAGAGTCCATTAGCTTGAAAAGAAGTAATACAAAACAAATCTTAGATAATAAAAATATGATTTAAAAAAAAAAAAAATGTAAATGTCGTTCGATATTTATAAAACAATTTCGTCTTACAATCAATTTTAATTGCTTGACTTAACATTAAAAATATTTAATAAAAATTCTATTATACAATTTTTAAATAAACGTGTAATTGTTTAAGAATATCACAAATTGAAAGAATAAATACAAACAAAATCTTTCTTCTTACACCCTTCACAACTACTGTACAAACAGTTAACATGTCGACCTTTTCTTTGAGGCTATTCTTTGCATACGAAATAATAAAAAGTGGATGAATGATGAACTGCATTATATCATTGAATGTTACCATCGGATATGGCTGCTGATATATTAAAATTTCAGAACATTTTATATATTTTAAAATATAAAAATAGTTAACAGAGTAAATAATTTTTATATAGAAAAGACACATGCTTCACTTTCTACCTTTTTCTGTTATTCATACACTTTTACTAATGAAAAATCAACTGAAGCATGTGCCTCTCACACGTCACCAAAAGCCATCCGCACTACTCACACATAACGGTCTTCGATTATTTCAAAACATTTTCGACTATTCGAAAACATTTAAGATTAAGATTACATTATAACCAATCTTACCCATTTTCATAGAATGCAAGAATTAGGTCTCCCGTTTCCAAATTAATTAGAGAATTTTTACGTGGGTCTAAAAATATGTTCAATTTCTTGCAAAAACGCAAAAAACCGCATCTACGCCTGTAAATCTTGCACACCGCTTTCTCTTAACACTTCCATTGTTAACACTTCCCTTATTGACACTTCCATTGTTACACATTTTCGAAGTTAACTACTTTCAACCCCCATATCTCCCACACCCTTATAGCTATCGAGAAGAAACCACCATAGTGCACTATGGGAGACTTGGGGCTACTACCACACACAAACAACATTCATGTGCGATGTGTAGTTTGGCTGCAAAGTGAAATATAGGGACAAACACGTCCATATATATATAGATATAGATAAAGAATATTAGACTGGACAATGTAAGACAGTACGATACTAAGGCTACATGGCTAACTGCAAATTCGAGAGTTCTTTAAAATAGAAGTATTTCAGATTTATTCGGACAAATTCAAGATGCTTCCACTAATGAAAGTAAATCAAAAAGGTACTAAAGACATATGTCTGGTACTGAACAGTTTACCACGTACGAGAAACTGGGACTTTGCAATATCCATTCATACTAATACTGTTCTTATGAATTAAAAATTCGGAATTGAGGTCTATTGGGTGGACTTAGGATCCGTACAATACGACCTGCTCTGCCAATCTACCAATATGGATAGGAAGAATCCAGTTTATGGAAAGCATAACAGCTAAATGTGGCGAGACTCCATTGTACATTAACCACGTAACTGTTTGGATTTCCAAGAGCACATTCTCTAAACGTAGTGGCAAGGTATTGGAAAGGATATTTGTATAGAAGTCTCTATTCAGTTGGTTTAGAAAGATGTGTTCACTTATAATAGTTATTAATAATATTACCAGTACACACATCAATCCAGAACTGTTGCTGAAGCCTACCCACGATGGTAGCAAATAGATTATCTTATGATCATTGATGTTGATTATGGAAATTAACTGGGAATTCACAATGATGTACTGGAGAAATCGGCGAGAGAAGATTTCTCGCAGTAAGTACAGTAATCATGAGATGACATACTTTACTCACATTGGATAGTAGAATGAAGTACAGAAAAAAAATGTTGCAAATTCCTGGTGCTAAATCAGAGATCTCTACAACATGTTCCAGGATATTGTCTTACATCTCTGCTCTTAGCATTTCTTGGTCACGGTCACTCACAGCAGAAGCTAATCGTCCAGTTTCGATAAAATGTTGATACGGCAGTGTTTGCCATCTATTAGGAAATGCTTCCTGATAATCTTGTGATTTCGCGTATATTTCCATTTGTACACTGTACATGAAAATCATGTCTGCTTGTTTTTGATATGAAAAACCTGCCATTACTACCATTAACCTAGTAATTATTATTCCACCTGCTGGTATACTTTCCATTTATGGTATACCTGTGGCAAAATGTCTGTGTTGTACTGTACAAGAACAATGCTGTTTACCGAATAATTACCTGGACATTTGATTTATGAATGCGTTTTAAATGTCAGCCATATTGAGAGTAACATTTTAACAACCTGTGTTTATAGGATCTTTTATTTATTTTCATATAAAGAAACATCTCCGAGGTTATCCAAAGCATTCTGTATAATGAACTTTTAAATTTAGTAGCGGTATTACAATAATATAAGCTTAACTTGTATTTTTATAACTATAAAATATACTCACTCCTTAAAATTACTCCTTCATTTTCTGGTTCATCATGGTATTTATTCATACTCGTTTCTTGTTTCGTAAAACTTGTGGGAAGAACTAGACCAAGTAAATTTAAAAACAATCAAAATATTATATTTTTATCAATAATAACTAATTAAATATCCATTCTTTTCAACAACTTCAATCATACTTTGCAGAAATTAATTTATTCTTTTAATGACACTCATCTCTACATTTTTTTTAATTTTTGACTCGTTCTGCGGCCCACCAGTGACCAAAATAATAATTATAAATACATATTTACCTACAGAATTTGTTGATTCTTTCTCTATCGTTACACTTGATATGTCTTGAGGTTGAGAATGAATTTCTTTATCGAAATCTTTAATTGGTAACTTTGGAGTAGGTTGTGTAGATGATCTTTCGTAATATTTTTGATATATAATTCTACTTACTATTACCATAATAATATAAATCACATAAAGTGCGATAAAACCTGTTAAACAAATATTTAATATTAAAAAAAATATATATATAATTCTTCTTTAAATTTACTAAAATATTTACGATCAAATTAAATAAAGCTGGTTAAAATCTTTTACCTATTGCATGTGAAAGAGAAATTCCTTTAGTATAATACAGATAAAAAGCCCAAAATGCTGCGAAAGAATAAAATGCTATGTCCCGCAGGAATGGCCTTTTCATCACTTTAAATTCGCTTGTTAAACATATACAACCAACTACTACTGTAGTTACAAATATTCCGGCACCTGAAATATATCTTTATGTAAAAGTTAGTAAATATATACTGTGTATATATATATATATATAGAAGTGAATGAAAGGTTGTAGAAATATTCAGGTATGCATAGATTAAAAACTGTAAACAATTACCAAACAATCCTCCAATTACCAGTTGTGGACGAAATTGTTCTATTGCTACTAACGAAGAAAAAATATCTGGTGCTGCGTTACCGAAAGCAAGAAATGTCACACCCTATTCTTTATTAAGTACGATTATTTTATATTCAAATAAAATATAATGTAATATCAAGAATACTGTATTTACTCGAGTAATCCGCACATCTATAAATCGAAAAATACCAGGAATTTATAGAGGTAATCCGCCATTGTTGGCATAGCCGAACTTTTCTAAAAAGGCCCTCTTAGTCCCCACATAAAGTTAAAAAAGATAAGATACCTCAGTTCAACAAGAACAAATTTGTTCCTAAAAGTTGTTCGGAAACCGATTTGTTCTCAAACCGAAACAAGTTTTTCCATAAGAAACAATGTAAAATGGATTAATCCGTTTCCGATCCCCAAAACAAAACATTTTTTTTTTTACTTTATTAGCTATATTTTATGCATAAAATGCCTATAAAGGAAATATTATATTATATATAAGTTAAATCTTCATTAAGAACACATCACTCAAGATAAGACATATGACCTTCTCTAGCGCTCTATCCCTCAACTTTTAACCACCAAAATTTAATAGTAACGAGCAATTATTTTTATTGTGACGTCGTCACTATGCCAAGTTACCATTTTTCTTCACAATGCTCTCAATTTTAGTAATGACTTGCCCCAATGCAGCATACTTTTCCTGTTAACAATAGTCATGCCGGTCATTTATCTAACTATGTTCAAGAGAAAATTTTTGAATTGAAATAACATAACTTCCGGTCTAAACTGGAAGTCATATTATTTCAATCCGGGTTTGATCGGAGCTTCTTGCCCGTATCTGACCATAGTTTTCCATATCTGATCTCGATTTTCATCTATCTAACACCGTTCTTCAGATAATGAAAGGCAGACAACAACACCAGTGGGGATTTATAAGTCTGCAATTCCTAATAAAACACAAACATTCCTACAAAATTTCAGAAATTTTCGACAAAAGATGCAGGAGTTATTAAACTACAAGGAAGGCGAGCAAAATCCTGCCCCCCTCTCTCTCTCACACACACACACACACACTAACATCCATACTTTTCAAGATCCACTGGGTCCAAAACGGTAAAAATCTTGGAGGGGTCATTTTTCTCATTGATCGCAATACTTTTCCTCTGTTATATTGATATATAACAGCCGGGAAAGTAATAAACGTTTAAAAAATTAATATAAAATACAATTATTGCTAGAGCAAAAGGATACAGCTATATTTTGTGATAAACGAAGTTGTTTTGTGATGCCAACTAAAGAGGAGCATAAACTGTAACAAAAACAAATTTGTTCAAACCTATTTTTATACACAATTTAACTATAGAATATAGTATAAAGCTTACAAATCATCAGCAGTTACACAAAGAGCAAGAAATAAAAACAGCAGCCAAAATGTCTTGAAAAGTAAAATAAAATATGTTAAAATGTGAAGAAAATTTTTCTAAAATTAACTTTAATGATATCATATACTTACACATATAGTAATTGCAGCTATTGTTTCATTACTTCCAAGTCCACAGTATATAAACCACATATAAGGAATATAACTTTCATCTCTGCAGTTATCAGTTCTTACTACAAAATTGCATCTTTCACTTACGTTATAGTCGTGTACTTGATCGCACTTTAAAATATAATACTGTACTTAAATAAATATATTTTATGCATTAAAATTTTGCAACTTAAATAATTTAATTATTAATTTCCCTTAATTATTTGCAACGCGACACGTAAACGATCTGCCAAGAGAGAACTTTCTATAAGAAACTGGCTCCTATTCTCCCATTGTGGACCTGGCGAACCCAAGATAAAAGGCCCAAGTGCGTACACGATAGAAAGCGTCTTGATTGTAGGGATGCATTAAGGTTTACACAGGTTCTTGTAAGGGCAACAAACCTCTGTGGACCTTGTTAAATGTTGTCTTATTGTTGTTTGTTTCAAAGAGGTCCGCATAACAGTTCAAGCTTTAAGGTACCAAAAATATAAGTCCTTTACAGTATTGTTAGAGACTGCTTTTCGGGAGGTCTTTGTAAGGGCAACTGGCCCCTATTCAGGCGTGGCCCGAAACCACGACCGAACATCCAGTGTTCAGGAAACGGAACCGCTTGGCCACTCAAAAGTATTTTCGATACTTTTGAGGTATGACGTTATGTTTTACCATTTCTTACTTGTTTCATAATTATTACGTCTACAGTGACCTACCAAACAAGGCACAATAGAAAAACAGTAGCAGTTTTCTCAAAAGTATATGCCAGTGTGCCTTATCCACATGAAAGTACGATATTTAGAATTCTAGAAGTGGATGGAATTAGCAATATGTTAGTAACGATACCAGGATCGTATCGTAAATACACTTAGTAATTTTGTTTTACTAAACATGCCTGTTCTTTGAGACCCGTAGAGTACTAACGGCGCTACAGAACCAGCAATGGGTAAGGCTCCTGAAGTCTAGGAGCTCCGTGCCACTAATTTTCAAAATATCAATTAATTTATTTTCAAAATATGTGTAATTTTCAAAATATCAATTAATTTATTTTACTATCAAAACTATTAATTTTTTCATATAGTATATGAATGACTTAACAACATTGGTTATTTTTATATAATACCGAAAAAGTTTTGAAGCCTCACCAATAGTTACACCACTAACAATGTTCAATTGCATTTAAATGTTTATATTACGATACAACGATTGTTAATAGCGAGGTTGCGGGCCGAAGTTTTCATCTCTCAAACGTGAACGTCAAACGTCGAGCGCTGCTATCTTGTAAGCGGCCCTCCACGTTCGACGTTCAAGTTTGAAAAATGAAAACTTCTGCCGCAACTTCTCTAATATGTAACAGAAAGGCATTTGTAATAGTCTGTCCTAGTCCGTTTTCAGTAATGCTTATGCAATGTAAGGATGATTGAATTAATGTAACAACATAATGCAATGCATAGACGGTGTGTCAAAAAGGAATGCCTCCTGGGAGCACTTTCAGAGAAAACTGGCTTCTATCCAGATGCTAAAGTATTATATACAATATTCATGGTCTTTTCTTCACGTTTGTAACACAAATAGGAGCCAGTTTCTTCTAGAAAGTCCTCCCTGGCATATTCCCCTCGGCAGATCGGCCAAGTGTAGCTTGCCATAAAGTCATAAACAAACCAAACCAAACTAAGTCATTTATTCAATTAATTATTATTTTGTTTCCGGAATTTGTGAATAAAAATCTGTTTTTATTCCTTGGTAAATCGTGCAAATTATTGTAAAAATCTTGTAGCTTGACCAACAGAACCAACAGAACAAATGCCATACGTAATGCTGCTTATCTGACATGTAAATAATACTTGAACTATACAGTAAATTAAAACATAAACAATTAGTCACTACTTTCGATAAAAGAAATTTTTACATGATATTTTAGAATTTTTTAAATTCCATTAAATATTTTAAAAATAAAATCATGAATAATCATTCTCGCTAAATTTAGTCTAATAATTTTTAAGTTTAATTTAAATTATAAACAATTAATTTACTCGTCATCTAAAAATTAAGATTGTTATTTTCTATAATTACATGCTGAAAGTATCACTAAATATCAATAACCAATTTCAATTCATCATTTCAATGTAATAAATTGAAATAGCCGCCATTTTGAGTCTATACTGTATTTCAAACAATTGATAAAATTATGTGAAATTTTAAATATATTACAACTAAAAGTGATTGAATTACTTACCATTTTGAAATAAAATTTCTAGAGTATATGAATTTTATATAAATCTTAAGTCTTTTTTTTAACGGTAGGATCTTTGATTGCCAGATCACCGGTTTTTATGAAGTCTCAAGTGAATCTATGGTTGAATTATAAGGCTGTGAGACACTAGGCGATTTCTTGTCCCGGAGACATGTCTCTCAACGACAAAAACCTGTTGACGTTCGGCGATGTTCGAACACACAGGAGTCATATGATCGATATTTTTTACCTGATAATCGTAAATTTTCTCTAGTATCTTTGAATACCTTGTCGTGATACTCTTTAATAGTGTGGTTATACCGTAAATTGGTTCTTAAGATTGAATTAATGAAATTAAACGTCTTGTCTTATCAACCAGAAACTATTCTCCTCCGTTTTTATATTTGTGTTGTAAACAAGAACTGTACTCACATGATAAATCTACGAGCGCTCATTGGTTACAACGAGCAATAGGAGACTTTTTGTTTCCCAAAAGTTAAATTGATTCGACACTCCGGTGACTGCTCACCCACAGAAATCACTTAGTGTGTCACAGCCTATAGTGTTTTAAGTAAGAAATTGCTAAAATAATAAACCAATAGCATAGACAGATTGGGGACACCATTGTGTAACGAAATCTAAACGTTATACAAATGGCTCTTTTCAGGGACATCATTTTAAAAAGGAAACTTATTATGGAATTCTAAATTATGTTTACTATGTTTTTCTCACAAGCAATTATTGGCATTCCTTTGTGAATACAGTCGACCCCCCTATAATTACGGTCCCTATAATCACGATTCCTATAAAACTACGAAAAAATATACGTATTTTGGAAATGTTGAGTCGGATTAGTGTAGAATCGATTAATTTTATGGAAGAAAACCTTTCAATCAGCCGTAGTCCGTAAACTTGACACGTGTCGGGCTGTGATTGGAACGACTTGTAAGAAATCGGATTCCTAATAAATTGGAACGTATCTATATCTTATAGGGGGGTCGACTGTATGTTAGTTATAATTTCGAGTCTACACAGTAAAATAACTGAACTGTAATCTCTGCAGCTTTTCATATGGACAAACTTGGACTTTTATCATAAAGATTATGTATGTAAATCAAGAACACCAATGTTGTCTGTAGAACCGCCATATTGGGTCCTTAGTTCTAAGGTCACAGTATAGATTTCATGCTATGTGCGTAACTGGAGTTCGAGCCACAAATTTCTTTTAGAATTTCAAATAGAGCATCTTTTCATTTACAGGTTACTCTAATGTATAATTAAAGGCTTTAAATAAGTATATTTATAAAAATTTATTAAACAGTAGACAATACCAACAAATAGAAATAATCGCTTGAACTTTATTTATTATTTATCTATATATATAAATGTAAATGAGACGTTTGTTTGTTTATTTGTTCGCTATACACTCCTAGGCTGTTCGACCAATTGCTACGAAACTCGGCAGTTACGTTTACATACTTTCAACTTAAATAATGTCGTAGTCCCACTTCAAAATATCTACTAAATTTCTGAAAATCAATTAACTTTTACCTATATTCGATTTGCTTGTTTAACGTAGCAAAAAATTGGCAAAAAAATTGAACATAGTTATAAACTAAAAATAATTCTTACAAGAAAAGGGATATAATTTAAAAAAATGGTATNATTGGGTCCTTAGTTCTAAGGTCACAGTATAGATTTCATGCTATGTGCGTAACTGGAGTTCGAGCCACAAATTTCTTTTAGAATTTCAAATAGAGCATCTTTTCATTTACAGGTTACTCTAATGTATAATTAAAGGCTTTAAATAAGTATATTTATAAAAATTTATTAAACAGTAGACAATACCAACAAATAGAAATAATCGCTTGAACTTTATTTATTATTTATCTATATATATAAATGTAAATGAGACGTTTGTTTGTTTATTTGTTCGCTATACACTCCTAGGCTGTTCGACCAACTGCTACGAAACTCGGCAGTTACGTTTACATACTTTCAACTTAAATAATGTCGTAGTCCCACTTCAAAATATCTACTAAATTTCTGAAAATCAATTAACTTTTACCTATATTCGATTTGCTTGTTTAACGTAGCAAAAAATTGGCAAAAAAATTGAACATAGTTATAAACTAAAAATAATTCTTACAAGAAAAGGGATATAATTTAAAAAAATGTATATTACATTCACTAAATTACTGCTACAGATAACATATAGCACTTGCCATTCGGTCTTTTTCATTTCTTAATAAATGCTCTCCAATACTCGAATGGATAAAACCACCAAACACCGGTAGTTAGTTTGTCATGGGTTTGGGCATGGTGAGCGGGTTGGCGACGTGCATTTTTCCGGGTTTTCTTCATTTTAGTAACAGTTAAATAGGGCATAAACATCTTCCCGGAATGCATTCCCCTCGGCAGATCGCTCACGTATCGCGTTGCCGAAATCATATAAATAAAACTAATTCTAGCAAGCGATTATTATCATATAAAAGCAATTATTCTCGCATTTTGAAAAGATTATTTTTATTTAAACAAGTTCTATATGTAGACTTTCGGACGTTAATATCTGACTTCATATAAAACTTGTTTATATACATTTTGTAAAAATTTTATTTAATAAGTAACACAAATACTGTAAAGTAATAATAATATTTATATTAAATAAGTATGAAAATAAAGAAAAATCAAGAGTGTAAGTCAATTGCATCAGCATATAATTTCATGAAAACCAAAAACTTCAAAAACGAATTGCAACATCATATGAGAAGACAAGCTGACGTTCTTATTTCCTTTTTAAAAACTGAATGAGTCTTGGTGTATATATTTTATATGTGTTTTTAGAATTATTGATTTGAAATTTTTGTAAATAAAACAAATTAAACTTGGATTTAAAACATTTTATTTGTCTTTAAGTCTATATGGAAGCTGTTCTGCTTCTGTGATCAGAGATCTTGAAGGGACATGAAATGGCACATCTTCATTTACATATTCTGTTACTTGTACTTCACATGCAATGGTAAATTTTCAAAGATGCATATGTTACGCAACTAAGCATAAAGCATTTATAATGTCTTCTGTTGTATCAGGCATATAATGTAGCTCTCTGTGCTTTAATAAACAAACGAAAACGTGTTTTTGATATACTATTGCATCTCTTGATACAATACGGTTCTAAAGGTTAGTCACAATTACCTGTAATTAATAGTAACTTAATGATTTGAAATGACATTACATTATTAAAGTTAGAAACTCAATAATTACTCTTACCAACAAGCCATTTTCTCTTGTAACAAAATCTTGCTTTACAAAAGCATGTCTTAATATGCTTATACCTATAGGCTTTCCAAATGTAAGAATCATGAGATGACCGTGAGAATCTTGAATTTATATTTCATATATTTAAGTCAGCGTGACATCTTAAATATGAAAAAATATATATGTAAAGATTACTATATTTATTTTGAAAATTTAAAATATTTAAATAGAATTATTCATGAAAAAAGGAGAGTAAATGGTGCAATAATGGCTACTTGGATTTAGTCAATTGCACAAAGAACGCCTTAATTAGTACACATATATAAATAATTAGGTTTCACATCAACAAATATGGTATATATATACATTTATATATAAATAATTAACTAAAAATAACAAATTTATGCTTTTTACCTTACCTTTCTTTCTACTAGTAAAGGATGCCATTGTTAGTTCTGGAATGCAATTAACAGTCCAATTCTTGACGTAAATATTTCGTTATTTAAACGAAATAAAATTAAAAACGTAGCATCCAGCAAGAAAATTCTTCTCCCCTTCTAAAAGCAGGAGTAATTTTTTTTTTCTTTAATCTCTTCTATCATCTAAGAAATGCAGTACGATGTGAGTTATTAACTTTAAATATAATAAAAGGCAAGTGATATGCGAGTTGTCACTATGTAGTGAGAAGATGAGAAGAATCGAATTATACAACAAGCTTCAAAGTATAATTCAACGTTGGATCAACGCTCCCACAAAGTGATACAGATTGCAATCAGGCTAACTTGGCCTTAAAAGCAAGGAACATTATTCGTTTTCAAGATCAAGTTTTCTTCAACATGCGATGAATTTGCACGGGACAACGGATAAATATAGTTCATTATTTTCTTTTATATTTACAGAATAGACTAGAAGTCATGAATTTTTTTTTTGTTGTTTGTTGTTTGGAATTTTTGGGGGTTAAGAAAAGTGTAACACAGACGGAAAGGGAGACATGTGCAACAATGTACGGGACAATGTGCCTCAATGTAAGTGGATGAAGGAAAAAGTGATCTTTGATTCAATGAATTGTAGTTAAATTTAGCGCGAGAATACCATGTCCCGCTCACAGCCATAGCAATGAATTGTAGTTCGTTTTGTATTAAAAATAGGAAGACGGGTACAAGTAATCTCTATGATAAGAGCAGATTTAGCAGAGTTTATGTAACGAAGAGGTTGAAAAGATGTAACAGGAATAATACTAGGAGTTAAGTTGAATTTATGAAAAAGGATATCCCTATAGAAGTTTTATTAATTAATGCAAAGGTATGCAATCTTTTTCGTCTCCCTTAGAGCTATAGATGGATAAATAAAAGATAACACCTGTAAAAGATGTAATTTCTCATAAGGCAAGTAAGACGTCATCGACATAACGAATAAAAAAAAATAATAATAACGTATTGTGAACGGGGAGGTAAATACCCTAAACTCTATATTTCTCACAGCAAACAGATGAGAACACACAGAAACGCCCTGTTTCCTCATTATATAATCTACATAATCTAATCTAAAATACGATATATAGATTATATATATATATGTTTATTTTCTGTTTAGGAAGGTTTCTGTTTAATAGCCACCCCGTTTTAGACAGGTTTTACAGTACAAATTAGCATTATAAATTCTAAAAATTATCTAAAATACAATTTATAATGATTGTAAAGTCTCTTTTTTTTTTAACATTTTATTAATCTTTATTGCAGCTTATTTATTAATTTAAAATTGATTTATGTTTTTATTCTTATTTTATTACGATAAAACAGCAGGTTTTTTTATGCTGACTTTTGCTGATGAAGTTAAAATCATCAATCTGAATATTGTTTTTTCTTTTTCTAATATTTCATGCTGATAATTTTAGCTTCATCACCACGTAAACTTGAATTTTTTCTTTTTTTTAATAGAATAAAATTTAAATTAAAAAAAAAATAATAATATATNCTTTGCTATCAAGGCGATGGAACCATCTTGGCGAGTAACAGTTGCAGATTCTCTTTTGAATGTGACAGAATATCCATGTTCTGTAATTTTAGGTACAGATATCAAGTTGTTTCTCAAATCTGGAACGGCTATCACGTCTTGTAGCTTGATTGTATTATTGGTGTTGTTGACACGCACGCTTATATTAATTGTTCCAGTTCCAACGGATCTTAACGCATCTTTTCCTGCAGTTTGTATTTCTTTGTGATCTTGATTTATCTCTGTAAATTTCGTACAGTCGCTACACATATGTGCGGTTGCTCCGCTATCAAGACACCAGTCTGTTGAGTTTAGAGGTTGAGCCATTTGTACTGTGACCGCCATAGCGTCATTCTTTTTGCGTGTATTGTTCCTTTGCGAACATCTGTTATTACTTCTACACTCAGCTGCACGATATAATATGTGAACAATACATACATAAAACACCTAAAATTCAATTTATTACCTTATATATGTAGTATATAACAATTTCACATTCATTAACTATGTATTAAATAAATTATATACTAATTTATATAAACAAATATATATATATTATGCATTTATGTAATAAAAAATTAAAAACATGTTTGTAAACAGCTTACCTTAGTGTCATTCATATTTAATTTTCTATACGCATGTGTAAGACTTTTGTATAGAGAGTGTATATATAGTCATCTCTCGATTGACGCAATTGTCTTTTTGTAATAACGCCGTTTACAAATTGATGACAAGTTTCAAATAGTGTTGTGTTATTTTTTAGAGTAGATTTTAGATCTATCAGCACACATTTGGCATGCCGTCTGAATGACGAAGCACAGGTAAAAATGATATTGACTCTGGCCGAATTTACTGTCAAATTTCTCTATGGCTCACCATTGGCCAAGCGGTTGTGTTCTCTGAAAACTGTGAGTTCGGTCGTAGATTCGCGTTTCGCCATGACGGGATGGCCACGTGGAGTTTTCCGGGTTTTCTCCACGTCTGTAACGCCTGAATAGGGGCCAGTTATACTTAGAAAGACCTTACAGAAGGAATTTCCCTAGACAGATCGCCCAAGCGTTGCGTTACCATAACTTAACAAAGCAAACAAACAAATAAATTTCTCTAAACTAGTCTTATGGGAAATTGACAGCTATGGACAAATTTTGTCCATATTTTGAGAAATTGTATTATCTTTTGTCAATATCGGCACATACGGAGTGACATCATCAGAACTTTGCATAATTTCCAATCGGAACAGAATTCTAAGTTTTCTGTTTATTATAAATTTACTAAAAGCACAAGCACCAATTCCAATAATCCGGGACCCATTTAGCACCCAAAAATATTTTAAGTAGTGTCTTGTCCCGTAAAGTTAAAGTATAAAAATAATTTTTATTAATTTAATGCCAAATGGTTTGCCTCTTAGAGTGAGTCCACCACTTAAAGATGACATCCGTGGCTACAATTCATTTCACAATTCTTGCCCAGAGCTGCGGGTTATCCGAATAACAGTTCTAGAGTATTCACTTAAATAGTGTATATACCTGCGATTCAAGACGTATTTCATATTCTGTTAAATTCACATAAGTTGTGCCCTTTATATATGAACAGAGAATATCCTGTATAGTAGAGGTACTAGATTTAAACTGTATCGGATTAACAAGGATTTCATTAACCGAGATCACATGAGACTCTATAGCCGAGGAAGTTGAGGCATCAACCTATGGTTATGAGAGATCCAGGATCGTATTTGGATTATCAGTGGCAAACATTTTTCATTTTGTTATTCCATTTACCCGACTACTTCATTGTGGGCTCCGCCAAACCAGTGATGGCTATGGTAGAAATTTCTTTAGTGTCCTCAGGGTAAAAACAGTAAAGATAAACATAATAAAATTTTTAAAAATTCATGCTGAATAATCGGTTATATTTTATTACATATTATATAAAATATTATTACAGCTGTAAACTATTAAATTTCAAATGACAAAATAAACCAAACCAATTCGTATAAAATATTTTGATAACGTATTTCATCAGATTTGGATAAAATATCCAAACTGTTATGTTATATATCTAATTACACAATACGTAATTGTTTTTTCATTAAAAATATTCGCATTTTGAATGCATTTGTAAATATAAAATTTTAAAATTTATTGCCAAACTTTCAAATGTAGTAAAATCTATTTAAAGTGACCATCTATAAAACGGAAACTTTCCTATACGGGAAGAAGGCTAGGAACTAAACGATTTTTGTGTAAAATCTATATATATATATAAACAGGATGTTTGTTTGTTTGTTATACATTACAAGGCCGTTCTACCAATTGCTACGAAACTCGGCAGTTACGTTGAAATACTTCGAACTTAGATCATGTCGTAATTTCACCCCAAATTATCGATTGGATTTCTTTCTACATTTGATTGCTGGCTTTACATTTAGCGCCATTTATTGGTGATATAGCGCGAAATACGTTACGCCATTACAACATTACTGGGACAAGTAGCACATAGCACTTTCTGCGTGGAGTGTAGTAGTGTTTTGCCTCTATACGTCATACTTTTCTTGCTAGCAATATAGTCGTACTGGTTAGATATCTAACACCATTCAACGGAAAATTTTTGAATTAAAATAATGAATAACGTAACTTGCGGTACAAATCGAAAGTTCGTATAGAGTTATTCCGATACCCTTTCTTTTACGATTTCCGTATCTGGTCTCGACTTTCATCTATCTAACTCTATTTTCGAGATTAAGGAAAAACAGAAGAACGACAATGAGAATTTATAAGATACAATTGTTTCAAAATGCAGCCCAATAAGTACCCTCCAGTAACCGAGTGGATAAAACCACCGAACATCGGTAATCCGTCGTTGGTTCGCGCATGGCCAACGGAGTAACCACGTGGGTTTTCTTTGCGTTAGTAACACTTGGGGCCAGTTTTACATAAAAGTTTTTTCGGGATGCATTCTCCTTAGAATTTCGCTCACGTGTCGCGTTGCCATAACCAAATAAATCAAACCAATTCTAATCATTTCTATAAATACGATATCTACGAAGACATGCTTAACTGGGAAACCTGGACATTCCGCCCACTCCCTGATTTCATCTTCCCTTCATAACTCATAAATCCACTGCCCCAAACTTCCTACAGATACTGCTTAAGATGTTCTAACGTTCTGTCAAATTAATGTACTGTACGTGCAGCAATTTTAATTAAGGCTGTTTTAATAACAGCTGTGTAATCACGTGTCGAATCTTACTGGCCGCTAATTTCGTTTTGGCGCTTGGACTCGGGATAGAGATGGCCAGAGAGACGACTGGAAGAAGTGTACGCTACTAAGAATTTAATAATTCGCATTACCCGTTTGTTTACATAGCAATAATATACAGAAGTTGGTTAAGACGCTCAGCTAGCTATAACAATTATACAAAAAACTAATCCTTATCATTAATATCGCCGGTCNTATAAAGTATTGTAAAGTTGTAAAGTTTATGTTGTAAGCATAGTCTTGAGCTTTCTAACAGTTATGTTCAAGACAGATGATCTGTACATGGTCTAGTAGAAAACAATGATTTTTTTTTCTTTTATTTACTTTACTCCTTCTGTTATCAAATAAAAAAATAAATAAAAAGTCTTGGTTTAAAAATAATAGGAAAGAGAATACAGAATTAAATTACCTTCTGTCTAGATACAATAAAAATACTACACTACCTGCCAGAAAGTAATTAAACACCCCTGCAAATAGCGACATGCGCTGTCCTAATACATGTCATGGCTGCCGCAGATAAATATCGAGGGGGGGGAAGAAAATCGGCATCGGCCGCATGATGATGCCACGCAGTTCGTAGCTGTCTGATTTCGAGAAAGGTGTAATCGTCAGTTATCACAGAAATGGTCGATCCATAAGTGACATATTCAACGAGCTGAAGTACCCAAAATCGACAGTGGGCTACGTGATTCGCAAATGGAAGGTGAGCGGTGATTGTCAGAATAAGCCCCAACCAGGCAGGACCACGAAGCTGGGAGTTAGAGACCGACGCGTGCTGTCCAGAGAAATTCGGAAGAACTGCACCCAACCGATGGCCCACATCCGTGGGGATTTTCAAATTGCAGCCGGAACTATTGTTTCGATGAATAACATCCATAAGGAAACCCATTTGCTCGGTTATCATGGACGTGCTGCTGCTCACAAGCCTTTCATTACCGGGATCAACAGCTCTGCTGGGCTAGCTTGGTGCAAAAAACTTCAACAATGGACCGTAGAACAATGGAAACGTGTTCTCTGGAGCGACGAATCCAGGTTTACCCTCTTCCGTTCGGATGGCAGGATCTGGGTTTGGCGTCTGCCTGGAGAACCACCCGCCAAAATTCGTTGTGCCAATAGTGAAGTTCGGTGAAGGTGGAGTTAGAGCTGCTGCAAACTATAGGATGCGGGAACTAGCGTACGCTCAGTCGTGCTCCAAAGCCCCGCTTTCTTTTCCCCCCAGGTTACAAGCCAGTTTTGCTAGGTAAGCTACGCAGGATTGAAGCAGCTTAAATCTACACAGCGTTTGCTCGCGTAAAAGTGCTGCATCATGGGAAATTAACAACTAGTGTTGCCACCAGGCTGATTTTTAAATTCATGGTCCGGATTAATTATTAATTTGTCGGGTTTTAGTAGAAGTTGTGAAATTATGATAAAACAAAATAAATTTATAAAAATATTTGCAAGTGTTTTGCAAACATTAGGTTTGTTCCAACACAAGTCTGTAACTGGTTTAAAACAGGCATGTCTACTGTTCAGTTCTTGGCTGAAAATGATATTGCGCATACCTCGTACGGTTTCCTAAAATGGACATGTCTTTCTTGCTAGCGTGACTGCTCTGTCTGTTGAATCCTGTCAACGGCGAGCGTACGCTCATATCACTGCACTAGCAAAGGAATAACCGCGCGGGCGCGAAGAAACAGGTGAGGCCTTTGACGTTATCGGGTATGCTAGCAAATGCTTGTAGTTTGCTGCTACTCTTATGGTGTGGGGGTGTTTTTCCTGGTATGGCCTGACCCTTGGTCACAATCGATGGTAGGCTAAAATTTATGACTTATTTTGTATTTTTTTCAATATTTTAGTCGAACTGAATTCTTATCCTTTAGAAAAATTCGTATAAATATTTTATTATTCTTTTATCAGTGTAATGCAAAACCTTCGATGCATGTAATTCTGGCAGAGTCGTGGAATAAGAAAAGAAGGGAAAAAAACAAAATACATAAAAGTATGAATCATTTATGACTGAAGTTTGAAGCTATTTTGTCTATAATATATCGGGAAAATATCATTTCTAGCAGGGAAACCAATTTGTGGCAGCCAACACGTTTTACAGTTGCGCTGAGCTAGCTTACAGATGGGCCTGTTTTAGCTTACAATATAACAGGAGAGAATAAAGTCTGCCTGGAAGAGCTTTGTTGGGTTGTGTGTCAGTTTGACAGATGGTCAACTCCACACCTTCGCCTTTTCTTTCATGTATTGAAGCTTAGTACAGAAGAGATAGTCTCTGCTANGTGAATATAAAATTTTAAAATTTATTGCCAAACTTTCAAATGTAGTAAAATCTATTTAAAGTGACCATCTATAAAACGGAAACTTTCCTATACGGGAAGAAGGCTAGGAA